CCTGCTGAAGTTGAACCGCTGAGAATTTGATATGAAAGGGAGAATCGGGGTTTTTTTAGACTCCACTAAAATGCTACATAGTAATGTCCAGAAGGAAGGGAAATACTGCAGGGAAATATTTCACTTGTTGCTTCCCCAAAATGATAAGGAGACAGAAGAATGTGTTGACACCATTTCTGTGCTCCAAATAATAGAGCTGTCTTCAAAGAACTTCTTACAGCAATTTTCCAATAGCTGAACCTTCTGTAAGTGGAAAAGGAGCAATGTAATTATTTCAAACTTGGACAAGATCAGAAACCAAAGAATCTAAAAGGTGGAGAAAAACTATACATTATCCTTTGTTTAACTTAAATCATCATTCCTCTATTTTAAATAGAATTTGGAGATGTTAAAAACCAATGACATATTTAAAATAACTGATTTTTTATATATATATTGTACCAAGTATCTTTTATAAATAGCTGAAAAAAAAATCTAGATACCAACAGCTCAGTAAACTTATTGGGCTTTGGAGAGCTATTGATGATATAAACTCTGCCAAAAAAAGCTATGGTTGATGTGATACCTTTTCAAAAAATGTGTTCAATGGTTTAAGATTTCAAAGTTAAAGTGGTCTTCACATACAAATCTACCATCCCAATAGTTTATACTGTATCTGGCTCCTGTACAATCTATGAGAAGAGAGACAATCTGATCCTCCTTTGCTGAGTGGCTGTAGAATCAGGCAAATTTGATATAGACAAGGTAGGTCTACATTTACAAATGCATCAGCTAACAGTAAACACTACTTGTAAAACATCAACTCCCCTAAAAAACAAAAAGAGGACATTGACATTCTTGCCTTAGTCTTATTGCCAGTGTTTGCGTAAGAATAGCGTGGGTGTTTTCATTCATGAAGTACAAGGGCATTTCATGGTCCGCACCATGAAAAAAATCTGGAAATCTCTTTATTAGATAGGCATGATAGCTAAAACTCCTCAGATTGAAGTCTCAATATGCCTTAGTACAGAGAATAAAGACAGATTGATAGAAATCATCTATGATTCACTGAAAACAGAAAGACAAAGCAATTTAATAACTGGAATATCACTACTTGGTCTGTAAAATAGAGACAATATAACAGCATATTCATTCATGTAAGTCTAGCTAGTTAGGTACTAGGTAATTTAAAAGATCTGAATGACTTCCCCACAGTAAAACATCATAAAAAGTTTTAATTGCTAAATCACAAACATGCTAAGAACTATTTTCTTAACCTGACAGTTTGCAAGACTGGGAGTGTTACTTAAAACTTAAATAAATTGAAATGGCTTTATTCTTCCAACACAGAGCAAGTAATTCCACTGGAAGTAAAAAATACTTCTTCTGGAGATCAGTCATTTTGACACAACATCTATATCAGACACGAAATCCTTTTCTGGGAAGGCAATCTGGAAAATTTATATTTAACAAATTCCAAACACAAAAGTTAGGCCCATTTCTCACGTTCACATACCTAAATGGAAGATATGGTGGATTTGATCCAGACAAAAGTGTTCTGTAAGCTTCTTCTGGTGTTTTCTTCAAGTATATTACCTAAAGGGGGTGAGGGGAAGAGAGAAAAAAAATAAGCCCTGAGTCCAAAAAGTGATTAACCATATATACTTCTCCCAGCCCACTAAACTCTTAAGAATGTATACTATACTCCTTTATGACCAACTCCTATGACATTTTTAGGTCAGAAAAGACATACCTACACAAAGTAAAAGATTCAGAAATCAACAGAAACTGGGCTTTCTGTTTTGTGTCATTCCCCCCTTAAAAAAAAAAAAAATCACATTGTTGCAACTGAAAGACTTTAAGACAGACTCAGTATCGTACTAAGATGAAAAATAGGCATCTATGCTAGGAATTCTCGGTCCAACTTCACATGAATCATAACCTTACCACAGCAGCTGACAACAGAAACATTTCTCCACCACAGCTCAGTGGAAGATTTTTCCAACACAAATAGTTTTTTTTATTCCCAATTGTCAATATCAAAGTACTAATTAATAAAAATATCCAATTCAGCAAGCTGAACCTGTTACCATAAGACCAACATATAGTTAACATAATACCCTAAGCCAAGGCTTATTCTGCTATCGCTGAACTCTATCAGCTCAGCTTGCTTACTTAAAGTAAGAAATCAGAATACAGCCATATCTTGTTGCATTTACAATCCTATTTGTACAATAAAACTGGTCCTAAAATAAACTTTACTTGGAATACATACCAAGCAAGTGCATTAATTACAAAAAAAATATTTCATCCAAGTTTGGAGTGGCATGTTTCACATGCACAAACATGTTTTGTAAATAAAACCACACAATTTTCCTAGCCATTTCCCCGCAATGCACCTTACAACCAGCACCTACATGGCTACTTTTTAGCTCTACGCACATTTAACTAGTTTTAACTATAAAGCATTCTTAAACTATTCTTAAAGTATCATAAAACTATAAAGCATTTAACTATAAAGCATTCTAGTAATTATTTTCTTAACCAAGACATAGGCTAGTTCCTGATCTAAAAGCTTTATTCAACTTTTGACCTTGAACACATTAGAATATAGGTAAGTGGTGGTCACTCCCAGAATATTTGCAATTTGCTTAATGTCTAGAGTCATATCTCAAGTTAATGGCATTCTTAGTATTCTGTAAGATGCCATCACAGTAGGTAGATTTTCTTGCATTTCTTCCTCAAGCATGGGCAAGACAGACAGAAGAGACAAGGTAAGGATAAAAAAAACCTGACTCAAGTAAAACAGTTTGAAAAACCTCTTTGCCATGACACAATGAAAAGAGGGTCCAGAATAATCTCTGTTTTTCCAGAGCTACCACCTATTTCACTTCTTTGAACAACTGATCTAATTTTGGACCAAAACCCTCTGCACAAACTGATTTGTCTTCAAAAGATAAATTCCCTGACACGAAGTTGTATTTCAGTCTCAGCCTCCAATGTCGCTTGCTCCACTCATCAGTCACACTGATAGCATGGATCAGTATAATCAGTACCCAAAAGGAGGAACAAATCCCACTTATCTTCAAACATTAAATCTCAATATTGTGGCATTATCAATATTGCAGTTTCATTTGGCAAATGCCCAAATTGCATGTTTCTCAAAATCAATGTCCCTGTATTTGCCCAAACGTCCATATTCCCCCATCCTTAACCTCTAAAAGCAAAGGTTTCCTGAAAACTTCCACAATCTAAACAGATCACAATTTCTATGTGAAAACCATTCCCTTTATTCTGTGTTATCAGAACAATTATTTCTAACTCATTTGTTGGATTCTTTGTTTTTGGGGTCAAACCAGTAAATACTAACATTGAAGCAGATTCAGAGGTTTACTTAATGAATATATATATTTACTTAATTCAAAAAGTAGAGGAGCCTATTGCTTTTTATTTTTAAGCTGTAACGGTCTGTCTACAGCAATAATTGCTCACTAATGGCACCAACTTCATGCTTTCAAACCCTGCAGCATAGCAATGCTATTCTGTTTTCAGTCATTTGTAAAGATTCTTTTAGTCTGTAAAAAGTCTCCTTTATAATTCCTTTATAGTCCCCCTCACCACAAAGGTTTTGCATTTAAGAACAATGCATTATGTGCAATAGATTTTGGGGAGAGGGGTTTATTTCAGAGAAAAATACTGCTTTCATTTATGTCAATGTCAATAATCACAATAATTAGCTTACATTTAAAGCCTAAATTCCTGCTTATAGTCAAAAGATCCTCAGAGGGTAGTTCAGAGGACTTCAGGGGAAGATGAGTTTCCATCTTACACAGTAGGGAGTCAGAAATCTGAAGTAGGGGCAAATATGTCCTATATGAATGTTTTATCAACACTGCAGTTTTTATTTCACAGAAGTTAGGGTACCTCAAAGCTGTCTCTGCTCAAAGACGTGTATATATGACATTTTAACCAAACAGCTGTCTGTCCACAAAGCTCATAATAAAGACACTAGATGGAAACATGAAAAAGATACTAAGAGCAGAAAAGAAAGGAAAGGAGGGAAAAAAACACTGAACAGGGCTCCTGAAAAAACAAAAATATTGCAGATGTCAAGAATAATGCAATAACTGATGGAGGAAGGATAACAAAATGGAGAAAGAAACACCACAGTACATGTCTTTAGTACTTAAAAAGTAGTTATATCCATTAAGAAAACTGCAGGAAACTGTTTTCTGACTCATCTTTATCAATGAAAACTCAGCAACTGAAACTTAGCTTCATTTTTTAATGTAATATAATGAATCTTCAGAGTGCTTTTATTCTGCAACATATACAAGTAAAATAAAAACCCCAAAGAGCCTGTATTGAATAGTTTGTATAAATTGAACCTGTATCTAAGAAATAGCGTGAGAACCTTTAAAAAAACCAGTCACCTTCCAGATTGAAACTATTCTCTTACAAGAGTTGTTTTATGAGGGACAAGGTTCTCCTCCCTCTTCCACACTGTCACTACTCTAACTCATATCATGTGACACTACTACCTGTAAAAAAACAGGTTCAGCAAATATTGAAAATTTTACAATATTTTTTTCTCTGACATTTCCATTCTTCTGTTCTTGACTTCCTGAATAATTATGTGGTTCAAAGACAAAGCTCTCCACAGTTGGGACACTGTGCAGGCACATGACATGTAGCAATACTGTCCACATACGCACTTCCAAGACAATTCATACCATCTATCCTAAAAAGTTTACAGAACAAGGGAATTAGTATTTTGCAAGTCCACCTTAACACTCAGCCACACTATTTCAAATACAATTTGGATTCATCTTGTATTTGCCATTTTCGAATTAGAAGTATATAGCACAGATCCGCTCTAGAGATATGCTAAGTTATCACAAGAGTTCTGTGAAGCCAATCTAGAGCAATCTGAAGAAAGGTGTTGCTTGAAACAGCAAAGAGACTGTACACACTGCAGTAACTGAAAAGCCTTTGCACTTGCTGAACCTCCAAGAGAGGGATTACAGATTTGAGCAGTAGTGTGATACGCTTAAGATTACAAAAGAACAAACCCTTAAAGCTTCAGGTAGGGCTGAGAAGTCTAATTTAGATTTTTAAATTAGGGAAAAACACTCCTGCAAGCATATGACAGAACATGCCATAGTAGTTCACTATTACCCAGTCATTTGCTATGATAAAATTACAAACTTAAGAACTCAACAGCTTTTCCCCTTTATTGGCATTACAGAAGTCTAATAAAAACTATTACTAATAGTTATACATACATTACTAATAGTAATACATACTTAAAGTAGTTGTGAGAAAGAAATATGACCAGCCCATCTGCTATCTACAAGGAAAATGAAAAAGAGCTCACTGGATCTCTTTTCAGAGTGTGTCACAGTATGAAAGCATTGTGTTTCACCATGACCGCTCAAAAGTCAGATTTCAGTCCACTAAAGTTTTGATCTTTGAAGAACTGAAAGAGATAACTAGTACTTGTCTGCTACTGAGGAACAAGTGTCATGCATATATGTTCTCTCTTCCCTCTGCCCCATTTCTCTAGAGGTACAAGAGCAGTCACTGGTACAGACTAGTATTCCTCCTGCTCTTCTCCCCCAGGGAATCCAAACCTTACAAGATTGCAGAGTACACAACCAGGTGGGGGTTCCTTGGTTTCCAAACAGAAATAAACATAACAAATACCTTAAGAAGGCAGAAAGAGGGACCCACCCTCCAATTCATTCATATGCTATCAGACAGGAGAAAATGCACTCTCCTTCATAATTTCTCCATGAATGAATTCTTTGATGATGAACCGGGAGATCATGTAATCAAGTCAGTATAATTCAGTTAAACCTACTCCCTCTCCCCCCTCAGACAGAAACTACCAGGGACAAATTGAGTCAAACCAGGCTACTTTAGTTTTGGTATGCATGAAAGTACGTGTAATACTATTTTCAAACTATTTTTAAAGACTTTTTTTGTTTAAATTAACTATCGTGGAAGACTACCTAAAACCCCCTTACAAGTAAAATAAGTCTCCAAACCAATGATGGGAAAAGCAAAGCAATACTAACGTCAAAATATTGTCTGTGGTGCCTGGTAAGACTTTGCAAAACCTAGCAGCACCCAGTTTCTGAAAACACTGAACAGTTTATGTTGTAGTCTTAGTCATTTAGGAGGAACACTAAACTTCTCCATAAGATCCGAGAAGTCTGCATGTTATTCTGTTCTTGTAAGACTTCAAATATTTTTTTTTTTCTTAATCTGAATTTTATGACAGAAATAACCTTTGCAGAATTCTTAAGAGCAAGGACAGTAATTTAGCAACTGGACATGATCAGCCCAAATGTATTTAAAGTCCATTGCAAAACCTGAAATTTAAAAAAACTCATCTTCCTGAGATGCAATTTACAAACAGGCAGCCTATTGGTAATAAAGTTTTAAGACTTAACTTTCACTTAAACTTAGGACTCTTATTAAAATATTTCAATAGCTTTAGGGTATTTCTGTTCAACGTGTCTAAGAAGCTGATTAATGCAACAATCCAAGTTGCATAATCACCACTGGAAACCTGTTCCTAGAACCTGATCCACTGTTTTCCACGTTTCATTTTACACTTAATATTTTAACACCAGGACAACTAAAACAAGCCTTCTCAATTAACTTCCACACTTTGGTAGAGTTCATAGCTATAAGACCTTCTGGTCTCAAAAATCTTGTATAATTGAAGAAAAGACATAAAATCTAGAAGATCTTAAATTTAAGAGTACATATACTTCTGTCACAATTTGGATATTCAAATTGTAATAGATCAAACTGCCAGTGACACACAGTTCTTTTACTGAAGAATATGATTAGATTCCTTCAGGCCTACCGCCCTAAAGGTCCATCCCTTGAGATGCTATTTTACACAGAACAGATGTCTTTCAAGGAAGGTTAGAAGTATCCATGCAATAAATAATACTTACAGCATATGCACCTATTAAAAATGCTGCATTTGCTCGTTTCCGCTGGTCAAAACTGGTATAGTAGACTATCTTCTTTCTTGATAGGCTGAAATACTGTTAAAAGACCAGACAGACAGCATATTTACTGAGAGAAGAATACACTTAAAAAGTTGCATTTCCAAAATTGAAAAATAAGTCAGAAAAAAAAAATCTTGAGAGATTCTTAAAATTGTAGGAGAAAAAATTACCAATACCATGAACAATCTTCTTACATTATAAATAAGTGCAGGGAAACAGCCACTGTATCAGGGCAGATCTCTTGGTCTGCTGTGCAAAAATATCCTATAAAACACAGTTGAACCAAAATGTTCAATATAAAATACTGGATTCCCACCACCACCCCCCAAGTTTAAATATTTGAACAACAGCTTACGAATGTTGATTAAAGACATTGAAATTCTCAGACTAAAACACTCTCCTATATGTGAAATCTCTTTAGCACATAATTCTGTGAAGATGACTAGAGAAGAACTGAAGCAATCAATCTTAAAAGCATTTTAAGTCCAACACCACTCTTCCATCTATACTACCTAAAAACGTGGTGACAGGCATCTTTAGAAAGCTTCAACAGCAAGAATTTATAAAAAAAGTGATTGCACAAGTGAAAGGCCTGAAAAAAAGGCTGGGCAGAGACAAAACCAGTAACACTTGCAATTCTTCTTTCTTTAGGAAGAAAAAAAGGCCTCTGTGAGAATCCTGTGGACAAAACTCCCATTGAAAATAAGACCAACAAGCACCAGAAAAGAACAATAATGACAAACTGCAGCAAAACCGCTTAAAGCCAGAAAGATAAACTTGACACGTAAAAATGGCAAGTTGGACAGTTTATTGTGTTATTTTTTTAGCTTCATGACTTACTATACTTCCATTATATTCTGCAACACTATCACTCATGTTTTTCCTGACAGATTGCTGAAGTACTACTACAGTTTTGAGGAAGTCATCAACAGACATACTGGATTCTGCTTCTAAATGTTTGAAGTGCATTTCTATTTTTAACAGTTGCACATTTTATGAACTGTCTTCATACCAGTGCTATTGCTACCCAGCTTCAGGTTTTTAACTCCAATTTGACAACTTCAATTTATTTTCTTTTCCTACTCTTGGCACTGACAACACTTGGGGGTGGGAGATAAGGTAGCTGCTGCCGAATTGTGTTTTCTTTAAGTAGTATCAACTGTATTTCACTTCCAGAAATCTGTAAATGTCAACTCTCATCTTAAACATTGTTGCAAATTTTAGGACAGCTTTAACCACAGAATCAAATTTTGCAAAAAAACAAATAGCTGATAAACTCAGGAGAAAATAGATTTATGTATCACAGTGAACTTCTTACTCCCACTCTAACAAAAATAGCCCCTTTAATAGTAGTTCTAACTGTACCTTCCAGTCTGGTTTTATTACCCACAGCTTCCATGGGTAGAAGGGGTAAGAGCTAATGCAACTGAGCATATCTAAGTAGAACTGTAATCCCCGAGATAGCTGGTTGCTGTTGATTGGAAGAGTTTGTATCTTGAGACTAACAGCAACATCTCCCTCAGTGTATGTGCAAACATACAAAGCACAAGTAGTTATTTAATTAGTGAAGCATTCAGTTATTATTAAAACTTGACAAAATTAATCACAGTATTTTAAGATCCCTCCTTTCTTCGCCCTCCTCAATTTTTTAATTTCAGTGTTCTCTAACTGCAATTCCACCCATGATGTGTAGGTGGGATAAGATTACAATAGTTATGCAACAGTGACAGAACTTCAATTTTAACTTGTTGACTACTACTTATTTTAAAGCAGAGTTCTTTGCAAGAGTTTACAGTTCACCTGAAATACTATTTTGGTGAAATACATTCTGCTAGCTAGCCAGAAGTTCTATGTAATAAGACCGTATTCCTTATTTTATTTTACAGAATTGATTTTTTTAATCATATAGGTATGTCAAGTTATTCCAATTTTGAGATGGTTTTGTATGTGAAGTAGCCACAAAGTGACAGCTCACCTTAAAAGTTCCCAGAACATTTAAATGAAAGCAATATATCATTTTCATTCCTTCATTTTCAAAATGTGTTTAACCCTTATAAGCCATATTGCTATATGAAGTATTTCAATGTTTTTTGAATCCTGACTAAAGCCTTAACACAAAATTGAAAACCAACATTAATTAATGGCTTATAGAATAGCAACCAGAGGAAAACTGCACCGGGATTTTACTTTTCAGAAGCCTATAAAACAAGCTGTTATTTTTATTTGCACACAAGTTACAGAAAAACAAGTTTTACAGTAAGTGCCGAAGTGTCAATGCAATGCCTCTGTTAACATTAATACACAAGCTCTCAACTCAATGCACATTCAATATGAATACTAAGCTTTACGACCTATTTTTAAAAATACTAATTTTCTGATCATGTTTAATAAGCTAAGTCTATTCCTTTGGCTAGGTTCAATGACAGCAAGTGTTAAAGACAGTTCTTTAAGGTGACTGTTTTCACAGCTCCAGAGCTCCACCCGAATGGATTAGGGCTTTAGTTCCCTTAGATGCTGCACAACTCAAAAAAACCAAAATGTTTCAACACCTAATTTTTCAGTACAGATTGTCTACAGAATAACTATAATTAGAGATAACATAGCAACATAGTTGCAAATAATCTTTTTTTTTCTAAAACAAAACTAATGCATGCACTGTGAAGCACTAAAGATACTTTTTTTTACTAGTAAGAAAATTTTAGCAGTTTCACACATCATTAGAAGACAAAATGTAACAATATAACAGAACGGTATCTGTCAAGTTATATCCCAGAGGAACACACTCAAAAGACAATTTTTTGAACTAAAAGCAGAAGTTACATGAAAAGTGCGGTAGGTTTTGTTTTAGGTGATAAACCCAATTGATTGGGTTTATGAGAGGATTCAAGAACATGTTTTCACTGTAAGACTACCTTTTTTTTTTTTTTTAACAACAGATCAGGGCTTGTTTCTTGAAGACTTAACGAGACATTTACTTGCCCACAGAAATTGATGGCACCTAAGCCTGTCATCATGGACAATTATTAGATTGATATCTGTTCAGAATCACCAGATTATTTGACAGTATTTTATTTAATGGTGTGGTTTAATATACTTGCATTGTTCAAGCAATAAATTACTGCAATGTGTTTAATAAGTCTGGATCAATGCAAATGCTATTTTTATATATATACACACGTGTATGCATATATGTACTATGTAAATATAAACAGCAGTGAGTACAAGGCTGGCAAACGATTCATATAAAATGATGTATTAAAACATGTACCTGCCTCAAAATCTAAGCCGTCTTAAAGGAGATGCTTGCAATTACTATAGTTCCATGGGTATGCCCATCAGTTTATTTATATTAAAACAGAACCAAACCCTTCTGTGATTCAGCAGCAATACAGTTAGCGTACAAGAAATGTTAAACCCATAGTTCATAAGCTTGTCAGAACCTTCCCTCTCCTGCCTGTGATCTTCTGTACTTGTATCATTTCTCAGCAACACTCCCTCTCTGATTACCCCTGCTTCTGAATTTATTGAGATTGTGTAAGGCTACACACACATAAAACACAGCAGCTTTTTTAAAAGCAGTTTTAATGAAATCAGACTTCTTTAAACAAAAGAATCACAGTTGCTTAGTCAAACATTTTTTCCCCCAAACAGAATTCAAAGAACAAGTAGGAAGATAGCACTGCCAAGCCTTTTTTCTTGCTGTTGACTTGGCTAGTCAAGATGATCTCCATAGCAATCAGCAATCAAAACATTACAAACATAACAAGGTCAGAAAGGTTTTCCTGTAAGGCATAATCAGGACTTTACCTCCAGCTTTCTCAGCAAATGACTATCTGAATATTTTCTTCAGCTCTTCACAACAGAACTATTTACTGTTTTTAAAAATCAGTCAGCATAAAGTTACAATAGTTTACTTTAAAATGTTGGCCTCTCATTAGCACATTTCAGACTGGTACCCTTCTCGTTCCCCATCTGTCCCCCAAGAAAGGAGAGTGGAAAGCAGAAAACTGCCTCTATTCTAATTTCTCCCCCAAAACAGAAATAGATATAGCTGGGAGACTTGGAGGAGAAGCTTGTGGGATTTTTTGCTTTAATGAGATCTTATGCTCTCATTTCTCCTGTTCCTATTCACAGACATTTTAAACTTAATAAAAGTCTAAGTCTTAAATTCTTTTTCAGACACCAATATTTTTTGTGTGGATTTTTTTAATACCACGCTTCTTTTAAAGAGTCTTCATAAGAGCACCTGAAGTGCATATCCAACCAGGTATATACCAAATCATGGCAGGAGTCATCTGGGCTTAAGCACTGTTATTGCCTCAGGGTTCTAAAAGTGCTGCAGTATGGCAACTGCAACCATCCCTCAGCAGACTGTATTTCTAGAGAATGATAATGATTTAGTCTGGAGAAGAGAAGGCTGAGAGGGGACCTTATCAATGTCTATAAATATCTGAAGGGTGGCTGTCAGGAGGATGGAGCCAGTCTCTTTTCAGTAGTGCCCAGTGATAGGACGAGGGGCAATGGGCACAAACTGCAGCACAGGAAGTTCCACCTCAATATGAGGAAAAACTTCTTTACTATGAGGGTGACGGAGCACTGGAACAGGCTGCCCAGAGAGGTTGTGGAGTCTCCTTCTCTGGAGACCTTCAAAACCCGACTGGACGCATTCCTGTGCAACCTGCCCTAGGGGATCCTGCCTTGGCGGGGTGGGGTGGACCAGATAATCTTCAGAGGTCCCTTCCAACCCCTACCATTCTGCGATTCTGTGATAATCTGCAGTGCCTTTTACTTCCTATGATGAGCCAACTCCTGTTTCTAGTCACAGGGCAGGGTTAGCCTGAATGCAAGGGAATGCAAGCAGCAGGTTGCCCAACAGGACTCTTTCTCCGTGTTATTAGTCCAACCGGCACTTCTATCTCCAAAACACTGATTACAGGCTGTGTACCTGTCCCCCTGGTGCCACGTGAGAATTACCATACTTTTGCTGCCAGTTGCTCACTGCATCAATACCTTGCTCACAGGTCATGAATGTCTGTCTTACACTAGTTCAGGCCTCAGGAATCCTCTCAGCGACACTTGTGAAGGACAGGCATGAGAATGTAAGGGGTAGAAGAGTAGAAACTGTGAATCCATAATTCTCAACTAGTGAAGCTGAGCAGTAGTCTTTTTGCCTACAGTACACATAAGATGCATGCTTCAGCCCTGGGATTTGGTCTTACAAGCCTACTTACCCCTGCAGATAGTATCTAAATTAGGACAGAGTCTGGCATATATCTTAACTATTAGAAGAGCAAAGCTTACATTAGCAGGTACTGGCCTACCTCAGGGATAGTGCCAATCTGCCAGACTGAAATCTATTAATGAGCAAGTTTCTGTATCACTCAGGTGGTATTCCAAGCTTTGCCTGTTTGATTTCAGGTATTACTTTCAAGTGGTTGCACTATCCGGTTACCCTTCTCTATTATGCACTAGTATAATTAGTAGTTTAAATTAACCTATTTGGAATTAGCCTCTGGTAGGGTAGAAGCAACAGACAGCACCTCATCCCAGCTGAGGCTGCAGCTGATCTGCATGAGATTTCCCTGACCTGTTCCTGGCCATTTGTACTCTTCACCTAACAGCCAATGTTTGCTTTTTTCAAAAAATACAAAAGTTACATTAAAAGTGACATCACGGTTTGCTAAATCAACCCTGCAAATGTCAGAGTTACTAATTTAGTTTCAATTTCATTGTCTTGGGTATTTTTTCCTGTTATAATATACAATCTTTTTATCATTATGATTACAAGCCACTTAGGAGCAGCTGGCTTCATTCATTGCAGATGATGGTCTTATAACAAGACTAAAGACTGTAGACACATTCCTGTTTAATATTGAATCATTTAAAAAAGACACCAAATCCTGAGATATTTATTACTTGTGTTCTTATTTTCTAGAGGAAACCCTTGGTACCTAGGGTCCAGTCTGAAGGCATTCTAGTTCTACTATAAAAGTATGAAGGTACACTTCAACAGTGATACACGAGACTGTATTCAGGTCCCAAACTGATCACAGTCTCAATGTGAATCTGGAAGAAACAGAACTAGTCTCTCTAGTTCTCATAGGCACAGTCAAAGTTAGAATAGTAGGTTTTTTATTGGTTCTTCTTCTTCTTCTCCTCCTCTACTTCTCTGGAGTAACTGATTGACAGAGCAAGCATTCTCCACAGTCTTTAATATCTCAAATGTAAGGTCACAAACAGCAGAATTAAGGTAAAAAAAAATAGATTCCTAGTGAGTGACTATCATTGGTCATGTGTTTGAATGGGACAGTGGCACTGGAAAATAGGGTGATAGTGTATTTATAACCTATAAATAATATTTAACCTATTTAGTGTTAACACAGAAATGGCAAATCCAATGTTCTCCCAATATGAACACAGGCATTCAAAATTAGAAATACTAGAGTTTAAACTATTTTATTTATAACTAACTTTCTATATTACAAAGCAATATAAATTCTCACTAGAAGCACTTTTCTGCAAAAAGGTTGTAGCAACTCTACAAACCCCTCAGTTTGCAGAGCCTCCTCTTAAGACTACCTAAGTCAGCATGCTCCTGGAAGCAGCAGATAGTGTGAATCAACTTGCATATTGGCTTAATTTGTGCAGCAAACATTAGTCCCAAAACATAATGTAATTT